TCCGCAGGGTGATACTACAGCTGTAGTTCACCAGGATCAAAGGGCCTGAGGTCTCATGATGGGACATGCTGAGACACTATGAAGCCCAGTTGACTGTTCACATCTGTGGTAGAAATCCCAGCACAGTAACAGGGGTTTGCTGGCTTTTATATCACACATGCATGCCACTGAACCTCCTGCACTCACCCCTCTGCTTTTTAGCAGTTCCCTTCTTGCTGCTCCCTGCTCTCCATGCTCATCCAACTTTAGATGACAGGTTGGGTGAGGAGGTGCTTTCATGGCACTGGGTGGCATGGGTCATGTTCGGCTGACGCAGCCCTCAGAGGGTCCCCACCCTGCCGTCTCCTCTCAGAAGAGGTGAATTGCAACTGTCAGGAGACAGGTTGCATCTTCCAGTGGGCTTGTCCTTCACATAACAGATTTGGCTTCCCAGTGGGTTTGTCCTACACATAACAGGTTTGGATGACCGTCTTCTGTGCCCAGGGAAAGTCTTCTCCCAGGATGCTCATATAAATGCCATTTACTATCAACATCTCGGATTGAAACAAGAAAGAGGGGCTGAAGATATTCACCCTGACATGGGAGAGGTGGACAGGCTTATTTTCTGCACAGAGCAGAAAAAAAACCAAACAACAAAACCACCTCTTGTTTTTCCCTTTGTTTTCTTGCATTTCATCACCTGTGGTGATGGCAAGTCACCCAGACCCACGACTGTACTCTGAAGGGGAGAGGACGGCCAGGCTCTGGTAGAAACCACACAAGGAGCTGGGAAGGAGGACTGCAGTGATGTACAGCTGCCTTGGCAAAGCAGGCACGGCATGTCCTTCAGTGGGCAGTACATTCAAGGACAGTCTGGAGCCAGGCCAGGAGGCACCAGCAGCCTCTGCTAAGTCTATCTTGGCTCAAAGCAGGAGTTGACAAGGGTAGGGTGGAAAGTGCCTCCTACCACCTCCTCAGCACCTGCCTCCACCTCTGCAGCCCATTTTCCCCATGCCTCCTGCCTGGGGGGGCTGCAGGAGATGCTGCACGAACATCCTGGGGGGCTGAGCAGAGACCTGTAGGGAGTACCATGACTAATGTCAGTCCCACCTATTTTAAAGGTCTGTGTTAGAAAAATGCACAATGTCCTTGTCATATTTATTGGATGAGTTCTGCTTTGCTTGGTTGCTGTTTTGCTGTAGATTTCCCTCAACTCTGGTGCCTGTGCTGTCTGCAATAGAAAACTGAGATGGAGCAAGAGGGAGACCAAGGCAGTGTGTGGGCTCAGACTGCTGGCAGCCACAAGCCTCCATTGTGGGACAGGGTACATTGCAGGAAAAAAATGGTTTAATGCCTTCAGTCTGAAATTTGGGAGCAAGCAGCTTTCAGGCATTCTGCACAAAACAGCTTGGCAGGGTATCCTCCATGCCATGGCTCTCCAGCTCTTTGGGGGTGAACAAACGCACAGCAGGATGATACCAGTGGCCTTGGCTCTGTCTGATGCCATTGCTTCCAGCTGGTCCCTCTTGCCCTCACAAATCACATGCAAGTTAGCAGGCAAACTGGATCACAGTAAGGAAGCAGGGATCAAAGTTGGTGTGGACATTGAACAGAGATAAACACAGTTCCCTCGATTATCTGGCAGCTGCCTGGGACTAAGAGAAGCATCCTGATGCTGACAGAGGTTGGTAGTCAGGAGTCAGTACAGACAGGGACAAACAGAGCAGGCAAACATCAGGAGAGGTGTGAGTGTGTACCTCTACGATCCAGAGGACCTGTGGTGGAAGACTGTCCCTGCCTGTTCATGAAGGATGTATACCCTGCTCTCTGGCTGTGTGTTTGGTGGGGACCAGGAGAGCCTGGAGCCCTGCCATGTCCTGGCTCCTGTGTGAGCTGTAGGGATGGATCTGGGCTGCTGCTGAAAACAGGGTGGAAATGAAGCATTGCCCCGGGTTGCAAATGGTCTTTGGGCAGGAATGTGCTGGGCTGCTCCTGGAGGCTGTGGCTGGTGGGAGAACAAACACGCTTGAGGAGTGACTCCCATCTCTGCAACACTAGGGGTTTCAAATCCCATATCTGTGCATGTACCTGTCCTGTACCCAGCACCTAACCTGGCAACGCCCGCACAAAATGCTCTGCGCCCAAACCGGGCCAGGTTGGCTACAGGTCTTCTAACACTGCACGGAGGAGCTGTTGCAGGACTGTAACTGTATGTGTACTGCTGGAAGAGTAACTGGCTACTGCGTGTTATGGAGATGAGTGTGACATAAGGCAGAAAGTTTAAGCCTCTCTAGGAATTGTGCTGGGCTTTCTTCTGTCCCCTGTCCCCAGATGCACTGCTGCAGCCACTGATGACTTCACAGGCTGAGTAAAGGTGACTGTGGTTGGACTCAGAGCTAAGGGAGAGATTCAGAAGGTGCTCCAAAAAACCTCAAATCTTGGTCACTGTATTGATGCAAAATTGCTGGATTTTGAACAACGTAGTACAGTTCAAGCCACGAGGACCTAATGTGGGTATGTTGAGAGTAGGGAGGGCTGAGAAAGATAAAGGTGACAATGTTTTTCAGGAGGTGTGGAAACATTTTATTTCATGTGAAGTGCTGTGCTACAATTTTGTTTAAATAAAATGGCCAAGTCTGTGAGAGAGTGGCGACTTCAGGGTACTTACAGCTTTTATCGTTTTAATTCTTGTTTGGTTTTCTGGTGGGGTTTTTTTCTACCACTAAACTATAAAGGGTGAGAGAGCGTGCGTTCCTACAGAACCCAGATTGCATTTTCAAGGGGTAAATGGAAAAACCCAGTGAGCAGACCCACTTTAAAGGCCAGAGTGTAAATGCAGTCAAAGGTTGAGAATAGATACCACCTTCGGTGGCCCACGCTGAACCTTTCACATAATAAATTGAAGCTGAAGGGATCCTGGATTCAAATGTCTCTCCTTCAGGTTGCCGCCCAGCTGGGCAAAAGTCAAAGCAACACACCCTGATCCCAACAGGCAAACAACGCTCTGCTCAGCCCTGCTCCTCCCTCTGCCAAAGCAGCTGAGGTGTGAGAGGTAGACAAGGCACGCTGATGTGCACTTTCTGAGGGATAGGAATTTAGTCAAAAGAGCCTCTTACAGGCAAAGCATTGCTGGTACCAGCAGTGCTAGGTCTATTTTTAATGATTTAGGAATGGAGAGTGCTTTCAGCATTAGATGGCTTTGGTAATACATAATTAATATAAGTGCATCTCTGTTGTTTGCAGAGATGGTAGGAAGGCCCTGGATAACTTTTGAGGCTGTAAAAGGAAAAAGAAGAGGTTGAATGAATCATAACGCATTCAATCAGTGGAAATTAGGTAGGAGCTAAATGAAATTTGCTGAGAATAATTTATTCTGGTCAAAACTGTGTGGTTGGGCTCTGTTTCTGAAGCTGGTCATGCTTCATGGTGCAGCAGAAGGAGCCTCCCTGCCACTGGATTTGATCTTCTGCCCTTAGGAGAATATTTTGCGTGCTATAACCCTGAGCCTGATACATCTTCACTCTTAAAAAACCCACAAGGTTGTTCTCTGAAATTGTTTCAAATTAAAAAACCTCCAACAACTGGTTCCTCCTAACGTGGAGTGGGGGAATTTCCTTGAAACACATCCTCATCGTTCTTTATAAATAAAATTACCGCGAGTCATCATGAAGCAGGCATAAGCTGTGTCCTTCAGAAGGTGAGGAAACCTTGGAAAAGCGAATAAACTTTTTTTGCAGTGGAAGATCAGGTCCAAAACAAAGTTCCTCTCTATGAGCGACTTCCCGAGGTCCCCTTTATGATGTTGTAAAACTGCAAGTGTACACGCAGGACGGCTCAGCCCCTCCGAGCAAACAGCTAAGTTCTTGCCCTGGAAAGCTTAAAGCCGAAGGCACGAGCGGAGTACAATGCTCTACAAGGCAGAGCAAACACGGCGACGGCTTCATTTCTGTTGAGAGGACAGAAAGAATAATTATAAAGAAGGTGAGGAAAGCGAAGCGAAACTAAAAGGAGGGTTTATGTTTGAAATTTCGGGGGTTTTTTTGGGGGTGGGGGGGAGGATAGGGAGGAGGGGGGGAAGGTGAACTTTTACGAGGCGGCGAGGATGCTCGTGGCGGGACGCGGAGCCTGGAAGCCGCGCTCGCAGCCCGCACCGCCCCGGCGGGCGCGGGGCGGCGGCGGCGGTGCCGGAGGCGGCCCCGGCGCTGAGGGAGCGGGGGGGCCGTGCTTGTTCCCGGTTGCCATGGGGAGCACGGCGGGGAGGGCGGCGCCGCCGCCGCCGCTGCGCAGGGAGCAGCTGCTCCCTGACACATCCCCCCGCTGCCATATTGTGTGTCCGCCGCCGGCCGCGCGGCTTCATGACCGCGGTGAGTGCAGCCCGCTCTGCCCCGCGCTCCCCTCCCGCCACCCCGCGACCGGCTTTGTCGCTCCCACCCCGCCTTTTTTTTTTTGTTTAGTTTTCGGGCTTTCCGCGCGTTTGGGGGGATGGGGTGTTTTTTTTGTTGTTGTTGTTCTTGACGCTCCGGGAGGGTTCCGCTGGGGCGGAAGGGGGAGGCGCGGGGAGCGCCGGGGCGGCGGGTCCCGCTGGCTCTGGGAGGGGGTTCCGCGGGGGGTGACCGGTGTCCCCCGGTGCCCCGCGTGGGGACGGCGCTGGATGGCGATGCGCGGGGAGGGGGATGCGTGGGGACACCACCCCCCCCTCTCCCCACGGCGGCCGCGGACCAGCTCCCCACACCCCGCTCCGCTGCTCCTCCTCCCGGCGCGGCTCCGCGGAGCTTCCGCCCGCGGGATTTACGCGGGTGACCCCCCCCACACACCTCTTAGCCCCCGCTCCCCCGGCAGGGCAGTCCCGCGCTCCATGCGCGCTTCCAGCGGCGGGGATGGAGAGCGGGGCCAGCCCGGCGCCGGGACCCGGGAGCGCGGCCCCGACGTGCCCCTCGCCTCCGGGTCGCCCCCATGAAAACCCTCAGGCGCTTCATTTAAGTAAGTAGGGACCCTTCTGGCGTTATTCCGCCGCGCCCCGCCGTCCCCGAAGCGGCGGGAAGCCCCCATGGATGTGCAGAAAGTCTGTGGTTTGCAGAGGTGAGGGGGGAGTAGGGGAGGCGTTCCGGGGTTCCCGCGTTTTGGGTTGAAATCCAAGAAACGGCTGATGAGGTGCTCGAGGTGAGGCTGGGATCTGTCTCCACGTGGCCCTTAAGAGTTTTCCGTCTCTTTTGTTTTTTTTTCTTTTGGTGAAGTTGGGCAACGAGTTGGTGGCAGCAGAGGAGCAGCATCCCACTGCTCTGCCGCCTTATTCCGCCTTGGACACACCAACGTGCTTGGTTGCCCAGGTTCTATAGGAGCGGAGACTGGCTTTTGTCGGTAAAGATTTGGATTCTGACAAGGCCCAAACAAAGAGTAAAAAGGACAAAGATTAAAAGCAGAAAATAAGGGGTAACCTTGAGGAGGGCCCAATAAACTCACATTCCTGCCCTGGTGCCTGCCTAGGGATGGATGCTGTATGCAAAATGTGAAGTTAAAAATGCTGAATTATGGTGGATTTCAATGCTGAGAAGGTAACTTGCTTAGCTTTGTGGCTAACGTATGAAATCAAGCTAACTTTATGTGTAATATACCATGTATATATATGTATATGTACTCTCCGAATCTTATTGGTGGACTTGCATTTAGATGGATTTAGTAATGATTGGGTAGTATTGACGTGTTGAGCAAAAGCAAACATGAGAATCATTTAACCTCTGTTGTGTTTCTTGGTTTGGAGTCTTTTTTTTGCCTCCTAGAAGTCTGGTGTTATGCTACATCTATGCAAGAAAAATTAAGCTGACATTATATTAAGTCAGAAAACTTGAACTAGTTAGCAGGTTGTTGATTTTTGTTTTTTCTTGGCAGGTGCCAACTCACATTTCCCAAGCTCTGCAGAAGGTAGTTGGACACAACTCTGAACTGAAAGCTCGGTAGTAGCAATTAATGCAGCACACAGCTTGAGCTGATGAACTTAGCTGAGTGCCAGGATATGTTATCTCTGAGCTTGGCTGTGTGCTGCCACAGCACTGCAGCTTCTGCTGGGGGCTCACTTGTGTCCAGCTGTGTGACTTGACTTTTGTGGAAATACAGAGGGGATGGTAATTCCTACTTTGGATGTTTCAGTTGCCTGAAATAAGTATCAGACTTTTCTGTGCTTTTAGTATTTTTTTTATTATCAAATGCTCCCGTAAAGTGAGCGGTGCCACTGTACACAGTGTCTACACCTGCAGACTGTGGTGGAGATGCTGCATTGGCTGCCCTTCAGGTCCTGAGGGAAGCTGGAGGCACTGACCCTGTATCAATCCAGGCATGTGGCCCTGAGCACTTTCAGGGACCTTGCTGAAATAAAACTTGGTTAATATCTTTGTTGACAGCATCTAGACCAGAGGATGAAGTTGTGACCTGCTTTGGGTGCTGCCACTGAGGCTGTGCTGAAGGAGCTCCTCAGGGATTTTTCAGCCCAAAAGTAGGATATTTTTTGTCTAAAAGGGACACCAGCCAAGGAGTGTGCTGCTTGAACAGCTCCAACGACCATGGGTTTTCTGATTGAGAAGCCTTCCCATGTCCTCTGAGAAACTTGGGATTGATGGCACCAACATTGACAGCAACTATCTGAGTGTCAGGACATGCCAGTCCAGTAAGTAATGGAGCAGGTACAGGGCTGTGTAATGGTCCCCTTGAATGAGAAGTGCTGCCTGGCAAGTGAGTGTAGTGCTTGACAAAGACGACAGAGGCTTAGGGACATGTGAAGCTGATTTTTACCATCTTTATTAACCACAGGCTCTGTTCACTCAGTGCAATAGACTTGAAAACCTGACGTGTTGAGCAAAAGCAAACATTTTTGGTGAATGAGATGGTTTGGCATTTGAAGATGCTGTATATGGATATAGTTTAAACAGGTAAAAAGCCACACAGTTCTTGTGCAGAAATGTTAGTTCCCAGAAGAGCAGCTGAAGTTTTTATGTTGGTTTCACTGGGGCTGTAATTCCACCTTCCTCTCCTGCTGTTACTCCTTGACTGCTCATTGTTGGGGTTCAAAGGAGCTGGTATTTGAGAGGAAATACCCCAAGCACTCAGAAGACTTTTCCCATGTGCAGGTTCATGATACCTTATCAGAAGGAGCTGCACAGTGGGATTAGAGCCAGGGAGGTGGCAGGAAGTATGGGTGTTGGGAGGAGTGAGGGTGAGCCCACAGCCACCCTACCATGCATCCCTTAAGGCTGTTCCCTGCAATGGGGTACTTTCACTACACTACTGTGGTGCAAAACAAGCTGTGTGAAGCACAGCTTTCGTTTCCTGCCTGCAAATCAGTGAAAAGCAGCCTTTAGTCCCTGTAAGTAAAGTCTGTCAGCGATTTGGATGCGTGCTCACTACCTACTAGCACAGGTTTAACTTTGGTTTATTCCTTTTGGCTCCCTGAGTTTTCTTGCCGTGGCAGTTGCTGTTCCTCCCCTCCTGGTAAATGAATGTATTGTGTATAAGCTCGTCTGTAGGATGTCACTGCACTGATAGTAACTTTTTCTGAGGGAAGTAGATGAAGGCAGCGAGTGCCTCATCCCAGTGTGTGTGTTGCCACTCGACAACTGAAATGGTGTTGGGCAACTTCCTGCGCCGAGGCACCACTGTCAGCGGCACCGGTGACTCACGTCAGCACGCGGCTGTGCCTCAACAAGTGCACACTTGCAGGCTGCAAACCCTGTCTGTGTCCCAGTGCAGTGCTGAGAGGTTCGGGGTGGGTGCATGTGGGGTGTCTCTTCCCAGATCCAGCGGCTGCCTTTTGCTCCTGCAGGAGACACCCACAAGTAAAACAAGAAAACTCTGAGATGCTGCTTCACTTTTTATCCGGCTGGACCCTTACGTGTGATACGTGTTTATTTGTTCCCTGTCACATTACGTGTCTTCTGACACAGTGCATGCTGTGTGATGGTGAGCTCTCCATCCCATCCTTGCCACAAGGGGTAAAAGCATGCAGCGATGGTCCAGGGTACTCCCAAAATACAATTTCAGTCAGCAATTGGGAGGCAGCTCATTATTTGGTAATAAATTACATGGAAAGGAAGAAGTGCTGCCTGATGTCAGCCAGAGTCTTTATGACCCCTGGTGCTCTGCCTCTTCCCTGTAAAACCTTATGGCTGTGGAAGTGCGAGGGTTGGGTCACTTTCCCGTTTGGAGAGAGCACTGCTGAGTGCTCAGGTCGAGTGCCTGCAGGCCTGCAACTGGGAAACCTGGATGTTGTGTCTGGGGCAGGAATACCCACCTTACCAAATGATTGCTCGGGGGTACCAGGACCGTTTTAAGAGAAGCTTAAGGATTAGATTATAATTTGGAAATGTTTTTACCCGGGTCCTGCTGGCAGAACATCCTAATGTGATTTACTCGGGTCAGTGGTGTATGTTGACTGCCTGGCAGGATGGTAGTTGTTGTCTGAGATGGCTGTCACTGCTCCACTGAACTTGCTGATGGTATGGGTTTGAAGTGCAGCGGTGAGCTGAGATCAGGTCTGCACCCTCCAGCTGCGGTGCTTTTGGCTGTCTGCTGGTCTTCCCCTCCGGCCAGCAATGAGTCTGGTCTCTGCACTACAGTCACAGACCCCCACACCTCAGTATGCCTTTGAACAGCATGGTTGGGTCCCACCTTTGACTTTAACGGCGTGACCGCGTTCTCCATCTGCTGAGTGCTGGAAGGGTGGCGTGTGGGTGATGCTGCTCCATCCTTGTGGTACTTTGCTTATGCATCTGAGTGTCCCACCAGTGTGTCGTGCTATTTGCCATCGTGTTTTTATTGTGGGCTTCCTGACACGTGAGGGGATGTGTTGCCGAAGCCCATCTCCTGGAGCAGCGTATCTTGATGCCAAGATTTCTTCTCTCAAGTTGTTTTCAGTGCACTCCTATCTTGCAGTTTGTAGCTGCTTTTAGTTTCCCGATTTGAGTGTGGTCCCCTGCTTGCTTTCTTTTTACCACTCTCACTGGATTCCATTGTGCTTAAGTTTGGGGCAAGTACATGGTTGCCTAAAAGTTAATTGCTGTATATGGAGAGAGCTCAGTGCCTGGAGAAGTTGCACAAAGTAGAGCTGAGTGAGTGGGAGTTGGGAAGCTTGCTGGCCACTCATCCCTCATCCTCTGCTCTGTGAGGACCATCACCAGACCTCTTATCAGCCAGTTTAGTTTTACTTTAGGGATGTTGAGCAGTCAAAAGTAGGACCTTTTTTTTTTTGTTTTTTAAACAGCCAAGTTCGACTCTTGTGGAATAAAATTAAAAGCAAGTTGGCTGTGGGGGTCAGCACGGCGAAGAGCATTGCTTTGCCTTCCCTGGAGCTCTGGAGGAAAACTTGTGCTTTGAGAGCAGGAGCTGGGAAGCAGCAAGTGGGGAGAGCTTCACAATCACAGAGTTGGTACCGGCAGTGTGGCCGTGGCTTTGTGATACAGCTCTGATGTTGCTTTCAAATTAAATCTTGCAGAAGGGGCACTTGGGGCGAAGCTTCAAATTGTTGGTTTTCGGCTGAAAGTCAGGAGTTTTGGTACTTTAAAGCTGAAGAAGGTAGGAAAACTGAATATAAAAGACAGTAGTATGTTTTCTAGCATTGGTAGATTGGACTGACACCAGCTGAAATGTAGCTATATTCACTTCTGTTTCAAGAGGATGGTAGAGAAACACGTGGAAGGGTTACCCTGGAAAGGGAATTAGCATCAGAATTATTTTACAAGGCATTTGCTCTAATGGCTCACTTGTGAACATATCAATGGCTTACATTTTTTTGCATGTTAGTCCATTTAGCAAGCACAGTACTGAATTTAAGGAACATGACCCGTAGGCATCTTTTGAAAAGCTCTTATTGGCAGTGAAGCATTTTTCTTAAAAGCACTTATTCCATCCCCACCCCCCTTTCTCTGACACCAAGGGTTTTTCTTAATAGTTTAGGTTTCACTGCTGGTTTGGTTTTTATATTTTTCATTTCCCTGTTTCTCTGTTAGACTGTTTTCATGCACGTGTTTTAAATCTGAGGCACACAGAACTAGGTCCAACAGTGACTGCAGCCTTTGGAAAGGCAACACGATTGCAAAGTCTCTGAAGGCAGTGATGGAATAAATGTCTCAGAGGCTCTGGGCTTTCCACAGGGTCTGGATTGGGGTCTGGGCATGTCAGAATTCATGTTATCATTTTTCCTTCAGATACTTGTTTTGAACACAAACCCACTTGTATGTGTATATGTGTACTTAATAAAAAAATAGAAAATTTTTTCGTATAAGTCAGATCAGATGAAATCTTTCTCTTGCTCCCTGCCCTTCCCTGGGCTATGATAAGGTCTTAATCCCTCCCCTTTTTAAATTTTGCAGCATTTCTCAGCTTTTCCTAATACTGGACCCTTTAATTGGTTTTAGTTACTTTCTCCCGCCCCTCTCCCCTTAATTATATCACAGGGTGTGGGAGAACACTGACATTAAAAGAGCATTAAAATGAGAGAGGCTTGGAAGTATTTCAGCAAATCCCTGGAAAACCTCTCTTCCCCTTTGAGCCTACCAATGCCAGGGTTAAAACGAAACCCCTGAGCTTACGGCTTGTGCGGTCCTTCAGTTGGTTGGGTTTGTTTTCAGGTTGGTTTTGAGAAGCCAGTAACTGCTTTTTTAATGCTTTTTTTAAACAATTACTTCTAATTTTTCCCCGCTTTGCAAGCCAGGAGGAGCAGGAAGGGCCCTGCCTATTGGAGGTGCTACCGCAGGGAGCATCTCTGGGTGCCCTTTGTCACCCAGGGGTGCAGCTGCCTGCGCGTCTCCTCTGCAGGCAGTGGGTCCCAGCTTGCTGAAATCTATGGCCGAGAGGTGGTTTTGTCCTCAGGAGACTGTAATGCCTTTAGTTGTCTTGGATACGTGACATCATATAGTGTTGTAATCAAATATAGGCCTTTCTCAGGGCTGGGGGGGGGGGATTTCAGCTGACCTGCAGCCCACTGAGCACGGGTGTGAGGTGTGCAGGGTACGGAGCAGGGCAGCCTGAGACAAAGAGATGAGTGGGGGGGAAAGGTTGAATTAATAGGGGGGAAAATGGGAGGAAATGGTCTGGTGTTGTGCTTTTAATGTTCCCAGTCAAGCAGATGTGGTGCTTTTTAGTGATTGGTTTTCATTAGTTGTGCCAGGATCTTTTTTTTTGTTGCACTTCCCTCCAATATGCAGAGATTTGTAGCTGGTCATGTGCTGTGTGCATGCTGGCTTGGAAGTTTATGCCCAACTTGTGTAGGTGAGCAGTGACAGTCATTTATTTGTGTAATTCTTGGGCTGTTTCAATGACACAGTATATACATTGATGTGTTTAAGTCAGGACAAGCCCTGGTGTCAATACCTTCTCATAAATGCAAGGGAATGTGAAAATCAAGAGAAGAGTTTGCTGTTGGTATAGGTGCTTGCATGCAAAAGCACTTACTGATCGTTTTAAATACTCTCACAGAGCCTGTTTTTGTTAGTACAGAAGTTGTGTGTAAAGCACACAAATGCCTGGCTCTGTAACAAAGACTGTGCTCCCTGAGCTTGTTGCAGAGAGGGTGGGTGCACAGCTGTTATTAACCAAGGTGTGATTTGCCTAAAAATCTTTTTTCCCGGATTAAAATTATATTCTGCTCCTCAGACGTGGACAATGCAGGGTACG